GCACAGCAGTCTAAGGGTACTTGTTGCCCCTGAGCTGTGCACTTACAGTGATTAAAAAGGTAAATTCGATGTTGTGTTGTTTGATCACAATATAAATGTGAAAAAAATTGAACGACTTGACAAAGCTAAAAGTTGCATTTCCTGCTGACTGGAGGCTTAAAGCTTGATGGTGACGCAGGCCCAGGCTTGGAGCTGCGACTGCCCACTCTAGTCCAGTGGGAGAGGGTTTGGAGACTTGGGCAGGCGTCTGCTGCCCCGGTGTCCTAGGCATCCACGGTGCAGCACAGGTGGCCTGTGGCCAGCTAGCTGCACACCAGAGGGAGAACCATGTATGTGGGCTGGACAGCATTCCAGAGATCTTGACCAAAATAGTTGAAAAACTTCTTGTGCAAGGATGTTTTGTTTAGACTGGAAGCCTGGATTTCCTTGCATTTCAGATCATTGTATTTTTTAAACAATAAAATGTCAACTATGGTAATTTTTCCCAAAGAGTTACACGCCTATTATTCTTTCATCAAGTACTTACGGAGCACCTACCTGCTAGGTGCTGGGCATTGTGCCCAGGGCTGGAGGTGAAACGGGCAGCCCGAGGCCTCCAGCTCACTTGGAGACACGAGCACGTGACCTGGCGCTCCCAGTTCGGTGAGGTGAGAAGCGTGCTGAGAGGAGACGCTGGCCTGCTGTGCACTCGCTCCAGGGATCGTGGAGCGCCATGTCCGGGAAGGCGTGGAGGGCGGCGGTGAGGGACACCGTGTGGCTTTGGGGTGAGGGTTGTGATTTTTGCCCTGGAGGCCCTCCAGGTCTGGAGGAGAAATATTAGGAAGGACAGTTAAAATACAAGGCATTACCTGCTCGCTTCTAAAGGTAAGCATGGAGTACAGGGGAACAAGGCAGACGGACACCCAGCGCCATGCAGACAGAAAGAGGGGCTGGAAGCCAGGGGACACTGTCTCCAAGTTGCAGGGGTGAGTAGGGGTCCGTGAAGTAAGGGTGGCCCTGGGCACAGTCTGGGCTGTGGTGTAGTGGGGAGACCGTGGCATTTATGGAAATGGTGACTAGTCTAGCATGGCAGAAGTGTGTGAGCTCAGTGCAGAGTGGTGTGACAGGCAGGGAAGGACCACATCACAGGAGGCCTTACATGCCACTCCAGGAAGGTGATTTACAGAGAAACCTGAGCAATTCTGCCCTTTTTCAATATTGTGCATATGAGCAGTGGTAAAGTAACAGTTTTTAAATCCTTTATGGTAAACAATATATCATATTTTGGCAATTTCCAAACTTACTAGATGACTATAATTTTCAAAATCTTAGAACATGAACCATAGACATTTGAATTAAGACCAAAAAAATCAATTATTTCTGCAGAAAAATGATCATTTAACAAAAGCCAAAAGGAAATTAAATATTAACAAAACATCACAAATATGTTTGAACCGATAGGACTAGATACCAGCTAGCTCAGGGACCGATGGAGGTTCGTGTTAATCTGTGGGGCCATGTGTTAGTGCTGTCTGTGGCCAGCCCTCTGCACCCTCATCCACTGGGCACCGCCCAGTGACTCTCTGAGGAAGGGTGCACTGTTCTCAAAGGAATTACTCCATAAATGTTTAATATTTCCCTTAAACATGTATCAAAATAAAGTTAAAGTACGGAAATACGTGGGCTTTTTGTGAAAGGAAGTTTTAGAATAAATACGGCAGTTACTTTGCCCTTAAAAGCAATTAGTATGCAATGTGTCCACCAGCAAGATGCTTCCCAGATGATGGTCATTTTGTCATTTTAAAAAACGGACTATTTAGATCTTACAGAAGATACGTAAACGTGTGATTATGTGAGTAGTAAGTTAATAGGATTTGTCTTTGGGTGCAGAATAGGTTGTTCGCCCCCTTTTTAAAGTGAAGCATGGGCTTGGATGCGTAGACATATTTTCTAGCTTATACACGATTTGGGAACGTCACAGAAACATTAAATGTTGAATTGGAAGTAACTGTTAGACACTTAATACCAGAGGATTTAGGTATAGATGTGTTACACAATGGAAGACTTCGGGGAAACTGAGAGTTTGAGTTCCAGTGTGAGGGCGGTCAGGGCTGGGTGAGCGGGAAAGTCTGGGGACAGCTTTCTCTGGATGTCCGCATGTTGAGTGAAATATGGCTTGGAAGCCAGCGCCTGGACTTTCGTGTTAGGGATGAAAGTCATCAGGGACAGTCGGCACTGCAGGCTCTACTCAGGCAGGGGAGAATCCAGGCACTGACTGTAATGTTTTTGTTTTTGTTTTTGAGACGGAGTCTCACCCTGTTACCCAGGCTGGAGTGCAGTGGCACGATCTTGGCTCACTCTAACCTCCACCTCCCGGGTTCAAGTGATTCTCCTACCTCAGCCTTCTGAGTAGCCAGGATTACAGGCACACACCACCACACCCGGCTAATTTTTTATGTTTTCAGTAGAGATGGGATTTCACCATGTTGGCCAGGCTGATCTCGAACTCCTGACCTCAGGTGATCCGCTCACCTCAGCCTCCCAACTTGCTGAGATTACAGGCATGAGCCACCATGCCCAGCCAACTCCTAATGTTTTGCACATTTCAATCCAGTTGTTTATTTAACTTTTTGAACATGCACACGCTTACATTTTTCATTTGAGAACGTGACTAATGAGAATTGCTGCCCATGTTTTGATGGCGAGGTTTCTTTTGTTTTTGACCTAGTAGCAGTTTTGTGTAATGCCTGCCCCTCTCTTCCTCTTCCGTAAACCCGGGACCTGAGACCTAAGCTCTGAAACACTTCCCCATTCTCTGCCAAGCCCAAGGCCAGCCTGGCTCCCTGTGGCTTTTTGTTTTCTTCGGATAATTCACCAGTTCTTATAAGCTTACTTTACGTTATAATCGTTGTGGGGTTCACAGAGGGTCTTTGGTCCTTCATATTCTTCAGAATACGAATACGTCCTCCTCGTCACCATTACCCTTGCTAGACCGTGACAGCCGAGCATGGTTTAACTGCAGCCACACCGGAAGTGCACTCTGTGGACACACCGGCTGTGCCCTGGGTTGAAGTGCCCCTCACGGTAACCTGACGCTCATGATTTATAAATGGAGCCGCCTGTGTGTCTCATGCATTTAAATTGCTTCACCTGCATGAAGAAGCGGGCGGCATTTGAGCAGTCAGTGCTGTTCCCTGTTGGTTTCATATCACCTGCTTTTCAGCACTGCTGCTGCTGTGGATCAGGGACTTCAGAGTGCGACAATCCTGGACAAGCCTTAACAAGCCCAGCCATGGCTCCTGTGGGTAGAGAGCTGAGCGTGGTCACCTGCATCTTCACTAGGAGATGAAGCAACAAACTCAGTGCTGGGGAGTCAGCTTCAGTTTGCAGAGTGCCTGCCGAGAACCTGCGAGGTAGCAGGCGCTTTTCTGTCCTCAGGGAAGGCAGACCAGCGCAGGGACACACATTTAAACAGCCAGTATCATGGTCACCAAGGGGGAAGGCCATTCCAGGCTGGGGAGCAAAAGCTCACAGTGACGCAGTCCGGGGAGGTCGAGTCCCGCCGGAGCCCGGCTGTGCTGGGAGGAGGGGCCGGAGCGGAGCGTGGAGGTGAGCTGCATCCAGCTTTCCTGTGCCAGTGCAAGACCTCTCCGAGGCCTGTTGTCATTAGTGTAGTTATCAGGGAGGTCATCTCAGGCCACCACCACAGCCATGGCAGGGTCTAAGGGCCCTCTCCTGGCTGCGCACAGGAGAATATCCCAGGGCAGGCAGTCTGCATCAGGACCTGGGGTAGATTCAAGCTGGCAAGTTATACACTCCCTGTCCACCTCTGGACCCTTTGCTGGTGCACACGGAGTTCTGTTGGGGAAGCCAGGCCACCCAAGACCCTGTTTGGGTAGAAAGATGCTAAATATAGTAACAAGAAAGGGAAATGTCAAAATGGGATAGCAAATAGGGTTCAAATCGCCAGCCACGAGCAGGGAACAAACACGGATGCCCCTCTTCAACACTGGCCGGGGAGCCCACCCCGCACCTTTTAGTCCTGGGAAGAGCCCAGGCTAGGCCCACGAGGAGGTGGCCTCTCTGTCTCTAGAAACCAGGGCTCCAAAGGGAAAAGTGACCTCCTTGAGGTCCTGATGGCGAATGAAGAATCTGAATTGGAGCCACCCTTTCCTTCAAACCAGGATGCCTTCCACCAGCACCATCAGGCTAGGGCTGAGGTTTCCGAGGGACGAGATGTGAATTAGGCCTCAGTGGACGTAGAGAAGTCCCCACTCCCTCAGGTGAGCAATGCAGGCCCCGATGTTGGCGATGATTCACTAATGGTTTATGCCGACAGCGAGCTGTTCAGGATGACTCAGTTCTCATAAAAGCCCAGTGATGATGTTTACAGATTTCTGCAGATCAGGAAACGGACACTCAACAGAGCTAGTCCATGGTGGAGCTGGGATTCAGACTCAGAATCAGCCTCCACTCAACCATGGTGCCACAGTGCCGGCCTCTGAAGGCCAGCTCAGCCCAGAATCAGGCCCAGCCACAGACCCACTCGACCTGCCTAGCCAAGGCCCCACACCAGGGAAAAGAGCAGAGCAAAACGGGTGCCACACTCCGCAGCCGTTTCCCAGGGGCATGCCATCTTGGGCAGAAGTGTCATAAAGGGAGATATTGTTAGAGGGTTTTTTATTTCATTTTCTTATTTATTTATTTGTTTGTTTGTTTATTGTGAGACAGCCTATGTTGCCCAGATTGGAGTGCAGTGGCGCACTCCTGGCTCACTGCAACCTCTGCCTCCTGGGTTCGAGTGATGCTTGTGTCTTAGTCTCCCAAGTAGCTGGGATTACAGGCGTCTGCCACCGTGCCTGGCTAATTGTTTTCTGTTTTTACTGCAGATGGCGTTTTACCATGTTGGCCAGGCTGGTCTCGAACTCCTGGCCTCAAGTGATCTTCCTCAGCCTCCTAAAGTGCTGGGATTACAAGCGTGAACCACCGCACCTGGCTGGGTTTTTTTGTTTTTGTTTTTGTTTAATTTTTAAATACCCAAGATCTTTATTGAGAAACCGTAATAATAACCATCAGTAAGAATTCATTTTTTCCTTAATTTCCACAAGCTTGCTAGTTTTAACTTAATAGCATTCTCAAACCACTTCTAAATCAGTGTGTGGCAGGAGGCAGGGTATAATGAACGAATGTCTGCAGCCCAGCTGTGTGCTGGAACCAGCTCGTACTGGCTCCTGAGAGCCAACTTAAATTTTCAAAAACTTTGTGGGCTGATCGTTAAACACATGCATTGTGAAAAAGTTACGTGCTTACAGTTGATTTAGGTTAGCAGAGTTAACGCGCACTTAGCACTTCCTATTGCCCGACTCCCTTTCGCCTCGGTGTGTCTGCCTGCCGTACCTGCAGGGCACAGGTGCTTCTCAGCACTGGCTGCCGCTCCTCTCGACTCCCGTTCAGTGACGTCACCTCAGCAGCTTGAGATTGGGCGGGGTGGTAGCGTCTGCACCACGGAAAGTGGCAGCCACTGAAAGGAGACGCCAGTCCAGCCCAAGCTGGTCGTGAGGCGCTTACCTGGGAGCCACTGAGTGTGTGTGTTCACCTTGCAGCTCGTGAGCACTCACCTGGGAGCCATTGAGGGCGTGTGTTCACGTTGCATCTAGTGAGCGCTCACCTGGGAGCCACTGAATGTGTGTGTTGACCTTGCAGCTCGCTCACCTGGGAGCTGTTGAGGGCGTGTGTTCACCTTGCATCTCGTGAGCGCTCACCTGGGAGCCGTTGAGGGCGTGTGTTCACCTTGCATCTCGTGAGCGCTCACCTGGGAGCCGTTGAGGGCGTGTGTTCACCTTGCAGCGGCAGCGTTCCCTGTCTTCACGTGAGGCCATGGCGTGATCATTCCCTGCTTGGGCATTTGGGGTGTTTCTGGCCATTCGTTATGATCAAAGCTATAAACAGCAGTATATAAGGGTGGCAGTTGGGTTTCCCCTCTGTCCCTAGTTCAAACCATAAAGCCTTATAGCTGAAGGGGACATTTGCTGTCATCTTATCCAAGCCTTGGACGTGAACCAGCCCATGGTCAAAGCATGGTGTGCAGAGCAGTGGGGCTGGCGTGTGATGGATTGTTGAGATTCCACGGCCTCACGTGCAGGAGTCTGAGGTGGGTTCCCCCACTCAGTCCCTAGTATATGTATGAGCTTGGGCAGATGATATAATCCATTGGAGGCTCAGCTTCACCCCTGAAGACCCCTTCTGTAGGCCGGCTGCAGAGGTGAGATGCAGAGCCTGAGTCGGGCACTTGGCATAGGGCCTGGCCCCACTGGAATGTGCTGTTTCTGCCATTTTAACTGGGCCTGGGCAGTGCTATGTGACCTGGAGCCTTGGTGACCTGGGCGCTACTTTCCAGTGCCCGTGGAGAGAGGAGAACCTTGGTAAAGAACGGAACTGGGGTCTCCTGATCTCGGGCCGTTTGCCCTCACCAGGCTCTGTTGAGTGGTGACCGGCACTTAGTGTCGCAGTGTACTGGGCCTTCCACACTCGGACCAGTCTCATGTGGCAGTAACTTCCTAGTGGCTCAGCGCCGTGTGGGGAGAGTGCTTCCTACTGTGCCTCTCAACGTAGTGGGCTGGGCAAGGCCCACAGTGGCTCTGTGTCTGATGGGGACGGGGGTCCCCCGTGGTCCCTGGGTCTCTGCCTGTGCCTTGGTTCTAGGGTTCTTTGTCTAGAAGATGCCAGGTGGCCGGGTGACCCGAACACTCGGTGTGGGTACCACAATGCCAGCTGTCCGCCCACCTGCTGTTGCCAGGTGCTCCCCCACATGACATCCGACTCCAGGTAGCTGCACAGCAGCCCTCTGGGAGCAGCCCTCCTAATGTGTCCTGTTGATCCAGTGGTGACCTGGTGATCCAGGCTTTTGACCTCGGGGACTTGACTGGTCATCTGGTCCACGGAGTACTAGGTTGGACCAAACCGGCCTCCTCATGGTCCTCCCCCCACCAGCTTGCAGTGTGGCCTTCACGGGGACCTCCGTGTCCCAGCCCAGGCACCTTTGAGGGGTCCCTGCTGCCTCTGGCGTGAGGGGCCACGCTCTCAGCCCAGAGCCAAGGCCTTCCTGGCCTGGCTGCCGCTGCCCTGTCTCCGGCACTCCTTCCCACACTGTGCCCTTCATCCTACCCTCTGCACCCGGCCTGGGACCTGCCAGGTCCTTTCTCTTCCGGGGTGACCTTCAGCCCTAGAAACGTGACCAAATGTGGCTCCTCCCACACTAGTGTTCTTTGTTTGCAGAGAGGGCCTGTCAGATGCTGGTCTTTCCCCCATTTCACAGGGGAGAAGACAGGCTGGGAGGGGTGGGGGAAATGCCTCACTGGGTGTCACATGCTGTTGCCACTGCCACCATAGTGTCCCTGGAGCAGGAGGTGCTGCCCCAGCACCCGCATTCCTGAGTCCCCGGGTGGGGCAGGTCTGGTTCCACGTCATCGGAGCTGTCATCAGCGCCGCATCCCAGTTTGGCAAAACGCACTCACCACGTCTGTGCCACGTGCTCTTCGGCAGTATTGGTCGTCTTCTCATTTCTTCAGAAAATGGACAGTGTCAGCACTGCACTTCCCTGGGCAGGAGACTTTTCAGGTGGCTAATTCCACAGGAAGATAGTGTCAGGTGTAGGTGCTGGAGCAGCGGCCGGACCCTCCCCAGGTGCAGCGTGAGCTTGGGCAGCAAGGCCGGGGCGGCGGAGGCGGCACTGGCCTGGGCGCTGCTCCTGGCAGTCCCCAGCCACCAGGGCCCTTCCTGCCCCGCTGCTTACCCCATCCCAGAGCTGGGCACACCTGGGGCTTCAGACCTTCAGGTGGCCGCCGGAGCTGCTGTCTCAGGGCCTCTCTCTGGCATAGCTGTTTGTCTCCAAGGACCGTCCTGTGAGTGTACGAGGCCCTACTGGCTGTGCTGGGAACCCTCGGCACCCACAGGTCTTCGCGGCCGCTTCCCTCTCTGCCTTCTGCCCCGAGAGGCTTTCTGATGGAAGGGCGGGGGCTTCAGGAGTGGCCCTCCCTTGTTGAGATGGGGTGCTCGATAGCGCCTTTAACTTTGAGGAACTCTGGGCCCCGGCCCTGACAGCCACAGTGGGTCTTACTTGAGTCGGTGATGCAGAAACGGAGGCCTGTGCTTCTTCACCTTCTGGGAAACCTACTTCCAAGAGTCTCACCGGGCCGGCTGTGTTGTGGAAAATAGTCTAATACGGCCTCTGATATGTAATTCATTTGCCGAGAGTAAGTGGACTTGCAGAGAACTTTCTTACCATCGTATGATGGTGCTGTGGTGTTATCCTTCCGGCGTTTTGAACTCACTGCCCGTGGACGTCATCAGAACACCACGGCCTCAGGAGTGCAGGCAGGGATCTAGTGTTGGGCGCTGAGCTGTGCGCGCCGTGTTCTCCTTTAATCTCCAGAATGCCCACCTTTCCCAGCATGCCCATTTACATGCAGGGCAGCATGTTCAAAGCCCAGGCTGCTCCAAAGTCCCGCAGCCAGAGTCCTGCAAGCTCAGAGCTGAGCATCTCTGCCCGGAGGCCACGTGGTCCCTGCCGTTGGCCAGGCCCTGGCTGTGAGGGAGGTGCAGGTAGGGAAGTCTGGCTCATCACCCGGCGGATCTGTGGTCAGGGCCCACCTAGCACACACTGGAGTGGAGGCCGTGGTCTGCGGGCGCCGTCACCCACCATGTGCTTGTTGAGAGCCTCCTACGACGCGGTCCTGGACGGTACCGATGCCTTAAAGCTCATGGCCTTGGCAAGGGAGTGCCTGGACGCCAGGGGAGCCGCCCCTGCCCGGGGAAGGCACTGGCCGGGCCCTCCCCAGTGGCCATGGCTGAGGCCCTGAGTGGAATGTGAGCCTGGTGTTTTCTAGAAGAGGAGGTGGGGTGGGGTGGGCGGCTGGAGTCTGGTATGGAGAGGGAAGCGGCCTGGCATGGGCTGCCCAGCCAGTGGGTAGGGTAGGGTCTTGCGGGCTGCAGGCGGGAGGATGGACTCTGAGGGCACTGGACACCACGGCGGGTGTGAGCAGTGAGTTTTTAGGTGGTCACTCTGGCTGCAGGTGGTGGGTGGGTTATAGAGGATGAGGGAGGAACCAGGGGTCAGTTGGAAGCCTGCTGTGCTCACAAAACTCTGCTCCTAAGAGTGCAGCTCTTTTAAGGGCACTAAGCAGTTACTGAGTGTCAGGTAAGGGGGAAGGTTGAGTACTTCAGGTAGAGGCAGCAGTGTCTGTGACGGTCCCATGGGTGGGAGGAGCTGATAGGAGACAAGTGTATGACGGGGATGTGTGGCTGAGGAGGCGGCGGCACCTGGTGCCAGATGGGCTGTGTGGCGGGTGGTGTTGGTGCGCGGGGTCCTGCCAGCATGAATGGTGGGTGACAGAGCCTTTTCTCTGAGATAGGGGATCCCAGAGGAGGTCTAGATATGAAGCAGCAGATCAAGAGATGGGTTTGGGATGTATTGAATTAGAACTTTCCTTTCTCTCCTCTGCGGCCTGGGGTAGCTGTTGGCTTCTGAAACTGATGAGGCAGCTGAGGGTATGGCCAGCTTTGACCCCTAAGCTTAGCGAGGGCTGCAGGACATGGACTGCATTTTGTGCTCTTCAGGAAGCTTCCGGAATCTCAAACCAAAGGCCATATGGTTGCTTATACAGCTACGATAACATCACTGTGTCATCACAAAGATGTTTGCTTATTGCAACATCTGTTTGGAAGAGCCGTGAGGATGGGTGGCTGTGCCGATAGGGCAGAGAGCAGCCCACGTTCCAGCCGCGGGGGGTGCGAGCCCCATGAGCCGGCCAGTGAAGACAGGTGCCCACAAGTTGGACACAGGGGTCGGCTCTGAGACGGTATAGCAGCTGCAGAATGTTCTGCTGGCTTTCTGGAGCGTCAGTGTCCTGCTTGAGCCTGGCCGGGGGCCTCTAGCCAGGCTGTTGAGGCGCCCGTCCTTGTTGAAGAGGAGAAACAGTGGCCCCCTGGGAGTTCCTGGGAGGCACTTGGCACAGGGCTGCAGGGACAGCATCATCGCCCTGGAAACGAAGTCCAGCCTCAGGGCCGTCCCGTCCAAAGCCCCTTCGGAGTCTACTGAGGTCAAATTAATGGAGTCTTCAGAAAGGCTAGAATGCGCAATTTCAAAACAGCTGCCTCCACCCAAATCACCCCATGTAAAGCTTGCAGTGAGCCACAGCCTCTCGGGCACCCGACAGCTCCACTCCACACAGCTCTCCCCTCAGGGCTCTGCCTCACCCTCTAGAGATGAGGCGCTGGGTCCTCGCTTTCAAGTTTCAATTCCTCCTCTCCTATGAAAGGCCAAAGCCCGGGAACTTATTGTCTCCTGCCCCTTCACCGCCAGATTCCCCCGCAGGGCACAGGGAGCCATAGCTGGCACTCTGGGAGGGGCTGGGTGGGCCATGGGTGTTGGAGTGGGGAGGCAGCACATGTGAGAACACTCAAGATGCTGCTGTCTCCTCCACCCTAAATGACGGCCCGTTTGCAGTAGGCTCAGAAAAAGCACCTGATCTTGCCCTTCTTTTCACCTGCTCCCTGCCTTCCTGTGGCTCTAGTGGTTCTAGAACATTCCTTGCAGCTGTGGGGCCCTTGCCAGCACAGAGCCTCAGTGCCAGGGGACCCAGTGCCAGTGGCCCTTCCCCTCTTGCAAGCAGGTGGCCCTAGCCCTGGCGGCCCGGCTCCCCTGGCCCAGTGTCTTTCTTGTCTGAGGCCCCTCAGAAGTGGCTCCTGACAGGGTTCCTTGACTTAAATTCATCAGAGGTCACTCAAGGATGCTAAGCCTTTCCCACGCAGGACTTGTGCTCACGAGTTTCACGACACTGTGGCATTTGGTCCCAGCACAAAAGCATATCTCTATGTGGAAGCTTTGTCCATTGAAAGAAAGGATGCAAGTTCCTGTTCCCATTGCAGATCTTTTGTTAAACATTTATAGGCGACTTTCCCACTGCCTGGCACACCCCCCCGCCCCCGCCAGCCTCCCCCCACCAGAAAGTCCCAGTTTATCACACACGGCACTGTGAACAGGAGCCGCCACACGTGACCCGAGCGTCGCCCGTGACCTCACACAGCCCGCGGCCGAGCGGTGACACAGTGAGTATTTCCTGTGAACAGGGAACCTTCCTGGTCCCACCA